TCTGCTTCGATGGATCGATATAATCAGCTCCTGCTCAAGCACACCCACCGCATACCTGCCAAGTATCCAGATTTTTTTCGGGATTATCCCGCAATTTTTCCGCGATCCCGAAATTCCTGTCGATTATCCCGAAATTCATTGTACAAGAAACAAGCTTGATATTGTACTTGGAGCACTTCACATGACTTGTCACAGGCCAGTAGTTGTCCTTATTGATTCCAGACCTCCATAGTCTGCAGTACCAGTGCTCCTTCCAGAAACAGTCCCTGAAAAACCTCCATTTTTGAGTCTTGAACATGGGTAAGTGTGATCTGATGATCACCATCAATCATCATGATGATCGAAATGTTGGTGCCATCAAAAGTTGAAAAAGGGTTTTTTTCGAAAAAAATACGACATCCCGAAAAACCAAGGCTAATCCCGGGATTCTGCCATGGCGATCCAGAAAAAGCGCTCTCAGTACTTGTTATTGGCAGGTATGCCACCGTCTCGACATGATGAACTATAGCGACCATGGATTTACAAGCCAGCGGTTTGCTTGCTCAGCCATGCCGAGCCCCTCAAGTAGTGCACTTCAATAGCCAACTTAAGCCGCTGATCACAAACTATTCAAACGGCTAAAACGGCTACAGCTACGGCTACCTTACCGTGAACCTATCTGAACTAATCCGAGGACGCTGAACACGATGCTGACATGGTTATTGACGGGCAAGGAGGTAGTTGAGATGCCGAAAATTCGCTTCGAAAACTAAAAAATACGGGGCGATGTATCAGAAAAATGAGAAAATCAACGAACCAGGGCATGCGACACACAAAGCTGTTCATGTATGCTTGCCCATTACACAAAAATCGAAGTTGCTTGGCAAAGCAATAACGACGTGTAGGAAAGTGTAGAACGCCGAGAGAAAACTTGTTCACACCACCCCTGCACCATACATTCATGCGACGAAGGATTTCTGCCTTTTGGTCACGTGATTAAAGTCGCTACTATTAACCTTTAAAATACACAAAAATGATAGATAACAAATATTACTGCTGAAACATCCCCTGCTATACACATGTAGTACAATGCTTGGTTTGGGGCAGTATCATCAACTTTTTGAAGTTTTTGCTTCTCTTCTTCTCTTCCATTTCACTTGTATTTGTCCATATACCTAGCTAGGTGTGCAAGAATGGACGGATAGAAAGCCAAAGATAAATATATAGGACATTATAACATAACTTGTAGTTCCTTGGTCCGTTTTTTCTATAAGTACGCCTAGGTAAGAGTTGTTTCAAGCAGTCCCCAATCCATTGTTCCGTAGATTCACTGATGACCGTAATAAGAAATCAGTTCTGAACAAATCCTCTCGTTCTTTCTTGTTGTGTGCCCTGCAATCATCGTTTTACATTGTACTAATGCATGTTGACAAAACGGAAATCATGCGGCATACGGCGAAGTTAGTCCTCTTTGTTGCTGTAATAAACAATACCCGTTATCGATGGTTTGGCCACTCGCAACGGCAGACACCAGTCCTTTAGTCGGCCTATATCTTCCGGCCTATCAGCCTTTTCTCGGCAATATCATGATACTCAGTTACTGGTACTTAACTTGTCCCAATCGATCTACATGTACATGTAAAACTAGACACGGTGCGGAGGTAGTTACTACACTGGAGCAGATTATCACGATGATGTGTGACCCTGTGATGCAATGCAATCAAGCAAAACACTCCCATGATATAACAAGCAGGGTTCTAGCCAAAGGGGGGGGGGGAGGGGGCGTAGCCCCCGCCCCGGTGAAAAAATGCCGCCCCCTACTCATTTTCCGATTTTTGTGTTTTTTTCGGGCCATATTACGAAAATGCATGAGTCACCGATCAACGTACCGGCTACCTGCGTCTGATTTGTGTGAGCTAGACAAACTCCAAGCAAGATTCATCAGGTCGTACTTGCGACGGCGTAAGTTTCGATTCGCCTTCGACACGCCAAAGCAAGATCTGAACGCATTCGCCAAACTAGAATCACTGCAGTACCGTAGACAATTCATTAGCCTAGTTACATTGCACAAGTTTATTTTCAAATACCGGAACACCTTGGCTCAGTTCAGTTTTAATATTTCCCGTAGTGAGAGACGCCCCAACAAAATTATCCTCCCCAAAGCCTTGACAACATCCAAATCACTTTTTTTATTCAAAACCTCCCTTTTATGGAATTGTCTCCCACCCACATTGACTTCGGAATCTTCTGTCCATGTATTCAAGAAAGAGCTGCGCAAACATTCTTGTCAGTATTCATGTCTACTCGCTGGCATGCCGTTACCCTGTTCATCGTAGTCCTCCCCCCCCCCCTTCCCAATCTGTACTCTCTTATACCATCATCCTTCAATGCGACAGACCCCACGATAGGCGGTCAGCCTTTGGGTCATCCTAATAAAGTTATTATTATTATTATTTGTAAGAAAAGTCGCAAAAAGTCGCAAAAAAATTCGCAACCACTACTTCGTATTATTAATGCGATTAATAGTATAAGTGAAGCGGACATTACAAAATGATGAATGAGAATACATGTATCTAAAATGGTTGTTCCTAATCGATTTTCTTGAGACTATCATCAGGGAAAATCGTCTCACAATAGAGGCTATACGGAGAAACAAACTACTTATAGGTTATCGGATAGTGGGAAGTATACAAGGTGAGGTGTGAAAAAAAACTAAAGTGGGAGAGAAGACGAAAGAAATTAGAAGAAAAGATGTGAGAGTGTTCTGACGGTGTGAGCTACTACAAACGGTGAGTGAAATGAAGGCGTGGAAGCAGGTGAATGTGATAGAGTGAGGAACTGTGAGGTGTAGGTGTATGCGAATGAATACGTGTGTGAATGCTAGGTGAAGAGTCTCAGTTTTGTGACATTTTCTTTCTGAATGCATAGATTAGGATTGTGTTTACGGATGAAAACAGCTTCTAATACCTTAAGTTCACGAAACCTACGAGCACGACACAAAACAGTGAAGCATGCTAATTTCTTTCGTCTTCTCTCCCACTTTAGTTTTTTTTCAAACCTCACCTTGTATACTTCCCACTATCCGATAACCTATAAGTAGTTTGTTTCTCCGTATAGCCTCTATTGTGAGACGATTTTCCCTGATGATAGTCTCAAGAAAATCGATTAGGAACAACCATTTTAGATACATGTATTCTCATTCATCATTTTGTAATGTCCGCTTCACTTATACTATTAATCGCATTAATAAAGTTATTGTCTCCTCGTCGCCTTTTCATTTACTTCGTATTATTATTATTATTATTATTATTATTATTATTATTATTAAAGACCTGATTGTCGGGAGTGACGTCGGGGGTACAGGGGCGAAGCCCCCATACGTTGCATTTTGTGTAGAAAGGCAATTTTGGAAAATAGAAAAATGGGTTACCGGTAACTGTTTCCCCGGCCCGCCCCTTACTATTTTTACCTGGCTAGAACCCTGAACAAGTCATAATTACATCAACTGACGCTACCAAACGCACCTTTTCATCCATCAAGTCCACTTTTGTGAAGAATATCACCTTGTCAGCGAATCCGTGGAACTTGTGAAATTGCACGACTAGCTCCTCAAACATTTCACGGCTCCGGCGACCATATTCATCACCATTGGGTTTAATCCGAAATGCATCCTCATACAGGTCATTGGCAGATGTGAAGAAAAATACTGACTCCACCTGTAGGGATCGAAGAGAGAGAGAGAGAGAGAGAGAGAGAGAGAGAGAGAGAGAGAGAGAGAGAGGGGGGGGGAGGGGGAGAGAGAGAGAATGACACATACACACACATGCACGCATGCGCGCACACATGTATGCACACACATGCACCCACAATCACACACACGTACATACACAAACACACACACACACACACACACACACACACACACACACACACACACATGTGCGTGGGTGGGTCCAAAATATTAAATCTATGGGGGGGGGGGTGCATGTAGGATTTTGACACCCTTATTCACCAACACGGTAGCAAGCATGCATCCGTATAGACCCCTAGTTGCAAGCATGCATCTGTAAGGAGTCACTAAGGACCCATTCCATGTTCCAACAACCAAGGTAACTATGGCTGCAGAAGCATACGAAGAGGACAAAAGGCCCTGAGCATTGTATACGGGTCGGATGCATGCAATTTTGGATGCCGATTTGAACTTTCGTGGACGACGCACTGTGAGATTGTTGCCCCTCAGTGCGTACTGCACCCCGGGTTGCCATAACAGGGCTTGGGAACCTCGAAGGGGCCGGTTTATAACACCACCCTCACCCCATCCAAGCATTCGCTCATATGTACACTTCCACACATACATGTACAGACACTGATAAGGTGTACCCATGGCCAATAAAGAAAGCTACATACTGCAGCCTCAAGTGAAGGGTACCGACGCACGTTTTATGGCAGTAGAGGTGTGCCGTCATTGAAATCCGAAAATAAAGACGTGGGGAATACTATAAGTAGTGGTCTGAGTTCTGGTTCACCACCGCAATGCAAAAACATCACGGCACGCTTCGCCAATCGACATCAAGCACATGAAGGCATGCTGCTTTTTTCCCCCACAGTACATCCCGTACATTATTCAGAGCGACTTGGACACGTTCAAATTGTGACTAGTGTTAGTAGCCCACCATTACTCGATTCAAGCAGCGACGCCGGTGCAGTGACCACACACACCCACATATGAACACATTCCGATCCATTGATTGCTCTCTTGTTGTGGATGGAAGTACATGTACAAGTAAGAGCATGGTACTATACATGTATAACCCAATACTAGCTCAAAACTAGTATTAGATAAACCTTGTTATAGTTCACGCGTGTTGTTAGATTGACAGCATAAAACCAGGCGGAGGACACTGTGTTCGGAAACAGTGACCTTACTACAACCTTACGCGGTTGGCAGAGCCCCGGTCCTCCACCTTGTCTCATGCTGTCAATCTAACAACAAGTAAGAGAATCCACCCGCAACAAGAACGCTGTGAGCAATAGCCTTTAGTATAGTGGCTATCATAAGAAGGTCGTGGACAGAGAAATACGGGAACTGGCGTAAATTAGAAATGAGAACACAATTGCATGCATTCACAGCTTCCCACAGTTACGTTCTGACAAACCGGCCTACGATAAGATAGCGGTCGCTGAGTATATACAAGTTAATAAGCACGAGACCACCTCCAGTCACAAATCGGAACGAAGAATAGCTGCACTGTTAGTGAAGTCCTGCATCAGGCTGGCTATTGAGCAAGAGAAAGAGTTCAACGAAGGCCGGCTATTCTACAAGAGACGCGGTGCATGTCAGTCAGACAGACAGCGCGCACAAATACAGCACAGAGCACCTCCTGAACGCTGCACGCGGTTCAGTGTGCCACAGCAATGCTGTGGTAACAGGATTCGAGTCGTCAAAGTTCTAACAGAATTGCAATTGGTCTCAACGGTGAGTGGCGCGTGTAATCGTGTGATGGCATGAGATTGTAGGTTCTAAGACTACTACATAATCATTGATCGCTCTATTTGATCATGGTCTATTCCAATGGAACAATAAGGCATGGTATACTTTTAGAAATACCCTAGTCAGAGCACACAAGTTGAACTACTACAACCTAGTTCAGTCACAAGACAACACGCCCACATCTAGACAAAGAAGAGCTACATTTGTTTGCCAACAAACGGGTTCTTGTTGGCAGAAGACACAGCTTGAGCAGCTATGCAGCACGGGAAGCACAGCCACACACACAAACACATCTGCAGTTGCTGCAAGGTGCAAAACAAAGAGGAGTTTTGCACACAAACGTTGGCCAGCACAGCACATGTTCCGTCCGCCAAGATTCCGGCACAGGCTTCCAGCGGGTTGGCCAACTTGAGCTGACGGTGCTGAACAATGCGGATACGTTGTGCTGCCAGCCTAGCGAGACCAAGCCTAACGTACCAATGCTGTGGTGCACAGCAAGTCTGCATCACGCTACACTCATTTAACTTAGAAGATCGAACCACGAAACAGATCCAGTTTGTCTCAGTCCAACATCAGCTCCTCAAGGTTACCTTCGAGGATGGTGGTGCGAACAGCTTCAAAGACAAACTTGATATTTTTCGTGTCCGTTGCCGTTGTGAAATGGTGGAAGAGCAGTTTCTCGCTGTCCTTGCGCTCACGGCCAAACCTAGACACTAAATACTTTTGCACATCGTTCAGGTTGTGCGGATCCGAACTCGCCGGGAAATCAGCATGGTAGTCGGCGATGTTGACCACTTTCACCTGGGGAGCGGGGACACAGGATAAGACGAGCATAGCAAGATGAGAAACTCGCCAACCCGTATGGAGCAACTGCGGTATAGCCAAGTGTAAAACTGACACCACAGTAAGGAGTCAGTTGATACCCCCTCTCAAATGTTCATCTAGGAATTGGGGAGAGCATTGAAGCAATACAGTTACGTGCTACCACGGCATCCCAGAATTGACCGTTGAATAGATGTGTATGCAAATGCACTGAATTCTCCCATCTGTAATCATGTATTGACGTGATTGGTAGTAGAGGCCAAAACTACTCAACCATGCAGTAAACCTCTCAAAAGCGAAAGATCACAGCAACACTTTTTTGCTCACCTTCTGCTCCAGCAAATCCGACTTGTTCAAGAAGAGGATTATCGAGACATTTCTGAAGCAGCGGTTGTTAGCGATCGTGTTAAATATCTTCAGGCTCTCGACTAGGCGGTTGGTGGTGCGGTCCTCGACGAGTGTGGTGTCGAATGCGCTGCTAGACACGAGGTAGAGTATGGACGTCACCTGCATGCCACCACAGCAAAAGAAAACACCGCACCAGCCACAGAAAAAAACATTGAAGAGGACTGTGGAGAAGGAAAGCATGAGATGGCGACTTAGCATCCAAAAAATCCCACCCCCGTGCTGCTATGTTCGCCTCTGCGTGTCCGACTCACACTTTCAAACAACACAAGGAATCCTGGAAGAAACAACTGACTTCTTCCTGAAACTCAAACGAATATAGAATGAGCTCACGGGCAAGGTTGCCCTGACCCGTGGCAAAGCGGTTTCTAGAGTTGGCTTGACAGTTTGCAATAGTGTGTGTTGCTGGCCGTGCAGCTAGCGGTAACATGGAATCCAGGGCCTAGCACCATCGATGCATCAAACGGCAAAACAAGCAAGAAGGCACGACGTGCATGATCAATGCCGTGACGACCATCCAAGGAACCAGGTCTGACTGGCACATGATTACTGCAATTGACATGGAAGGGAAAAGAGTGACCGAAAAGACCTTGGACTGGAAAGGCGTAGAGAAGGAAAAGAGTGACCGAAAAGACCTTGGACTGGAAAGGCGTAGAGAAGGAAAAGAGTGACCGAAAAGACCTTGGACTGGAAAGGCGTAGAGAAGGAAAAGAGCTAACATCTCCCAAACTCATTACACCCGCACAACAGCTGACTAGGAAAGCACTCTTCCTCGGCGTGCACTGCCATGTCCAGCAGAGCGTGCTGTTTGACCACAGCTCAACACAACCACCCATACCCGACATGACGATGATTTAGCACTGCTACCATGAACCGCGGACACGACAAACCCAGGACTAGACAAAACACGAGATGAGACGCGAGATGAGACGAACCCAGGATATGGCGACACCGCGGAAAAGACAAAACTACAACCAATATTCTTGTGTACATATCATCACGGCCAACACAAACTGACTTGGACAATTTGAACTCTTGCAATTGGCAGGCCAAACTGCGAGTCGTGAATGGCCTGAACTCGGTTATGATAAACTTTTTGGGCGTGCAAGGATAGAAGGCAGGAAATAGTCGCTATAGTCTGCCACTTTCTGGTACGGATACTGTTTCTATGGACAATGTCACCCAAGCCTTATCTCGGAAGCAGCGGGTAGGTGACGGGTCCAAAATCAACTGTCACCTCACGTGACCTTCATACGGCTGGTGCAGCTGATCCAGCAAAAGTTTGGCTTTCCCATTCAGCCTGCATGGCGGATTTTCTAATGGGCGCTACGCATACAGCGCGAGTCATCGGATTTTTCGAATGGGCGCTAAGTGCGCAGCGTGAGTCGCTAGTGCACGTGCAGCGCTGTGCGGCGAGTCCGCGACTTCGCCAAAGCATCTCAACAGATGATGTAATTGCATAACCTGTATACAATACCTCCAGGGAATATAACATGACAAGTATGGTACGCCCAGGGTACTTTATACAAAAATCTCATTGTACCTCTCCTGGCTCAAAGGTGGTTTATCTTATCCCAGCCTTACTATAATAATAACGTATGAAAAGCACCCTGTAAGGCAACCGTAACATACACTGACTGTGTAGAAGAATGGGCATTCACTCAACATAACTCACGTCGTCAAAACATTGAAACCACTTGGTCCGCTGCGATCGCTGTCCACCGACGTCTACAAACTTGAACGGCACTTTCTTGACGGCAAGGTCATACTCGTGAATTCCCCGAGTCGCTTTACGGGAACAGAGCACATCCTGCTTGGATGGTAGATATTCCTGTGATACACACAACAGCAAACAGAGATCATACTGCTAGCTCGAGTATGTGCTGCTCTGACAAGGTTCCATGGCCTACTATCAGGCTACTGTCGTTCGGTCCGCAGGCCAGACCCCCCCCCCCCTCTCTCTATATATATCATTCTCTCTGGCTGTCTATTCGCCTGCCTCTTCAAGGCCTCGTTCTTCTCCCTAGCTGAGGAGACTTTCCAGGCACCGTGCCACTTTGTAGAGCCAGCTAGAGATAGTGATATCTGAAGTGACAGTGCAGGCCACACTCTTACCGGTGAGCTTAGTGTCTTTATCTGCTTGAAGAAGTACTCTGTTGAATCACCCTGTGGCACACAAGAGAAGACAACACTCCAGCCATTGGTCACATGGGAGCAACAGTACAAGGCAGAGCAAGGCAAGGCAAGGTGGCGGATGCAAACGTGTGGTCGCATCCACCATCCCCTTCTACTGCAGATTGAAGCACACGGGAATGGGTGTGGCTATAAAGGAAGTTTGAACAGCACAACCTACGCACAAAGTCAATATTAGAAGATTTGATCACTTGAACAGATCTTTATATTATATTTTGCCAGCGTACACTGGACCCTTCCAAAAGGGGGTTAGGCACAAAACCCCAGGTGCGCACTTCAGGGGTGGCCGGTTGGGGGAAGGGGTTGCATTATGCTCTGGCATGCATTTCAATTATCATATTTCCTGAAACGAGGCCCCGCGCTGAATATAAGCACTGCCCTGCAACAAACCCCGGGGTTGAGACTTGAGAGGTGATCGGCAAAAAAGTTCAACCCCCGCCTGACAATAACTTCTGCAGTGCTTTTTGACACATACTTTTTCATCGGCGTGCAAAGCTCAACGCGTCAACTACAGTCATTTATTGTACATTTTATACAGTCAGTCAGTAGACGCAGAAATCTCTGATCATCGGACTGGTGCTGATGCCAGCTAACATGGTGCTGATGCCAGCTAACATGGTGGTGCTGATGCCAGCTAACATGGCATTATGGTACAAAGAACAGGTATCTTCTAAAATTGAAGTGTTTGTGAGGTGGTATCATTGAGCTAAATTTTTAAGCCCTTCCCTGAAATAGGCCACATGCTTCGGAAAGCCTGACAATCAAGTCCCTCGGGTGTATTCCAAAAAAAAAAACAGTATAATGACAAAGTATGGAGAAGAACTTGTAATTTTAGAAACAGCCAATGCCCGTTGAAGGCAAACACAGCTACTGTCTTATCAGTGAAAATGAAGTATAGTACCTTGACCAAGTCAGCATCCACCTTGCCAAAATCTACACCCACTCCTCCCCAACCTTACATAACACCAGGCACGAACCACTAGCATCATCACTGTGACTAGCATCATCACTGTTGTCTGAATTGGCCAAACTGCCATGTAACTCGGAGTAACAGCAAATATAATAGCCTCTCTCCATTGCAAACTAATACATGTACACATGTTGCTTGCCACAGTGCACTTATACATGTACATGTAAGTAGCACAGAAACATAATCCCCCTGCTGCTGCTGTGTGTTTGTTCAGCACTATCGTTTGTAGAATGGAGGCGAGTTCATGTCTGGGGACTTGTGGGGAGCCTCCACAAGTAGTGTTTGAGTATCCTCACTATCCTGGATTGTATCCTGCTGCTGCTACTATCCCTCTACACAATACGCTATCATGCGATGTCACAATCAGTGTGGCAAGCTGCACAAGGATTGCGAGGACTGGAATGACCTGGATCTGTAGGCAAGCCAGTTCGTGTAAATACACCTATGAAACTGCAAGGATCACCCCCCCCCCCCCCCCCCAAAGAATAAACACTCTAAAACGTAAAGACAACTGAAAAATATTTTGTGTGACAGTCAATTTTTTCTTCAGACTTTTCCGTTCGCATCTTTCCCTCAAACCAATGAATATTTTTGTTGTGTGCGTAGTAACTATACTAAACTGTAGTCAGGGCCATGACTGTGTCCTCCCTAGGCTAAGGCTGAAGTGCTTCACCTGGGGGACGCTGAACTCCAAGTGTGATACATTATTTTCACTTCACTGTTGTCTAGGGTGGCAATTAATCTGATGCACAGTGGAGAAACACTGGAATTCTTCAACAGTAACAAGGCTACTATTGCCACAACAAGCAGCAATAAAATCATTTTGGTGTACAAACACACAAAATAGGATCACCCCATGCCCAGTCACAAACGAGAAATGTCCACTGCCTACTTGTGCACGTGTTCTTCTGGGTGTATGCATGGTATGATTGTGGAATCGTTACGCGAACAAACGTACACTTCCAGGTGCGCGCAAACACGCAGACATGGAGAACACACGAACAAAACAATACCGCCCGGGTGCCATTTCCTTTTCGCATCAACGACTGTTTCTGTCCCAGGTCACCTATTGTCAAAGAGAGGAATGACATTGATACGCTACGTGATACACGTCAAAAGCTGAAACATTCTCTAGTACGCATTAATTTCTACTCCATTCCGACTCGCGGGGAGCGCTCAGCACTTACGATGTGGAATTGACTCCGTCTGGCGAACGTCGCCTGAATGCCAGAGTCCAACCACAGCTCCTCCAATGCCGCGAAATACGGTGCCATATCACTGTACTGCTCCACATTGCTAGGCGCAGCGGCAATAAGGTCCGCATGTCTTGCGTTGCCCTCGTCGCCCCACGGAATCTCGGGGTCCGATAGGAGCTCGCGGGCCTGGATTAGAACTTTGCCCGCTTTCATTATATTGGTGTAGATCGTAGACCGAAATTCCTCGCAGTCGGCTTCCTTGAAATCTTCACCATGGATGATGCGCATTTGCTTCAAGAAGGTGCTCTTTCCCGACTCACCAGCTCCCAGTAGCAGCACTTTTACCGTTCTCCTTAGAGTATCGCGCTGTGCTATCAGCATCTTGTCAATATCATCGCTGCGTTTCTTGGAGTCCGGATCTCCACCGTTGGACGCACAGCATGCCATTGCTCCTTTCGCTTGCAAAGGCAGTCACTACAGGACACTGCCGCTGCTGCTCCAGATGACGATGACGCAGTGTAGATCTACCGCTTGTTGGTCGGAGGATCTAGGAGGCTCGGAGCTAGCTGTGCGCGCAGCAACAGAACTCTCCCGGATCGTGCCAGGCCGTCTCGGGTGCGTCGCACTCCCCAGCCCCTTTCTCGAACTTGAAATATTATCCTGCAGTTGGTTAGTAGGAGTACTGCGACCAATGCTCCAAGAGCATACTTCCCACTGCCAGCAGCCACTACAATACCAACGTATTGCTGGGCGCTACAAGCAAATACGCTGCTTGCTGATGCTGCTCTCCGGTGGAAGCGACGCAGTTGACAACGCAAATAATTCCAATACTTCACTTTTTCAACCAGGCCGTTGGCGATACGCGCAAAAGTGAGAAAGATCGCCACTTCGTGCACTGCACGGTAAGTATTGCAAGACGATTTGTGTGCACGGGGTACTCATTAGGACAATTATTGGGAGTTGTCACAAGAAGAAACACGACTGCATCGTAACACATACGAGCAGAAGTGGGGACTGCCCTTTTGCTTGTCTTTGACTTTGGTCGCTCGGATGGCCGTTGCTTGCCTCAGCTCATTTATTATCATCCTTTGCAGCTAGCCTGATCTAGGCAAAACCGTGAAAACGTCAGACTCAGAACTAGAAATCAAGACTTTTTCTGCACCATTGCAGTATGCATGGTATGCATTTGGCTGCATGCGCATATGCAGCCGACATTTTTTTCAGGTACTGACTACTGTACCTGGGATCTAGTCGGTACGTACATAGATTGACATGGACATAAGTCATTGTAATGGCAACTGATACTCACAACTGGCGAATACATGTCATGAGTGTCAGTATCCATTGGCATTGATTATCGCGCAGATGTATTGATTATCGCGCAGATGTACAGTAACTGTTACTACCTTCTACAACAGTACACTACTCACTAGTATTATTATTATTTATTAATATTTTGATAGGGCAATCCCCACAGACTCAAGGTCTTCTTACAGTATTAGCATCACTATCTAGTATCTAGGCTACAGTCCAGAACAAGTGGTAGATCTACAGTCAGTAGAGTCGTGCGCTTAAGACTCGTGACGTGGAGCCCAAGAACGTCCAGCCTGGAATACTAGGAACGGCACAGCCTAAAACGGTTTAAGAACGACGGTGTTGGTTTTCTGGCAGCTTGTGGGATACATTATGATCCCTGAGTATGGATTGTTTCTAAGAACGTGCTATAACAGTTATTTACCCTCCCCCCCCCCCCCCCTGTGTATTTTCTGTAATCTTTTGTTTCTGTGGAGCGCTTGGGTTGCAATGAAGCCGAGACCCTATGGTCAGTCAAGCTGTCCCTGCCTCTCCCCCACTCCTGCCATTCCATATGTCTCATCGCTGCCTTGCTGCTTTGTGCCGTCAAATGGTGTGTGTTTTTTTTGTAAAAATAAATAAGAATAAAAAATAAATAAGAATGCAGCTAGATTACCGAAAAATAAGAACGTCCCAGGCCAACCCCTTGGAAACAACGTTCTTGGGCGCGCGACTCTACTGTAGTGCGTACGAGTGGTAGTGGTAGATAACCATGGCATGAGTGTGTCGATACTCAGAGTGTTCTTGTAGTACTTGTCTTTAGTCTTTTGACTTATCAGTGCCAGCAAGTGGAGCAAGACATGCTGTACAAAACAGAGGGAGAGGAGGTCTACCCCACCCATGGGTCATCATGTACAAAGTCATGCAGAAACACTCTCATTGAACCCAGACACACAAAAGACAATAGGAAATGATCCACAACACTGCCGTGCTGTACCAAGTTCAATACATGTACAGTGTTAGCTATTTTCCCTCTTGGTCGTACATGCACCTCCTCGTGCGCCTAGCGCCTGTACGCGTGCATGTACATGTTGCATTTGCCATTAAAAAAATATCATTATTTCACACATAGTTTTTCCTGTTCTTGTCGCATACTGAGGAGGTTTTCAGACATCTCGGATGAAAAAAAAGTGTCTGTACGTTACTAGTATGTTCATACATGTGCATGCACTGTATGTGCGCTCCATGATCAGCCATGGATTCGTCATCAACCTGTACTACAACTGGCACTTGGAAAACACCACTACAGTACAGCACTAGTCGGCACGTTTCACTTCAAGAGTCCACACATAGCAGACAAATCCAAGACTGAGAGCAAAACACAAAACAACCAGTTGAGCATGTTGGAATACATGCCGCCGAAACACCAAAATGAAGACAAGCCCAGGGCGGTATCCGTACACTATTGAGTATGTAGTATGATGTGCCATCAAGAGTATGAAACCGTTATGTTACTTATGTACTCTTGGTACCAGCGTCCAGGGGGGATGATGTGGGGCTTTTGTAAGCTGCCTTGCTCTCACAGCCAGGTAGTTAATTTATTTATTTAAAAAATAATAATAACTTCACGGTTCGCGTCAGACTCGGCTAGAGGCCGAGTTTTCCGCATCCGTAGGAACGCCACCACCCTTCAAGTATCAAGGCGCAGATGCAGCTCCTAAAGCGGTGGGAGATGAGGAGATCAGACCCACCAAAGTGGTCAAAGACCGAGAATCCCATGTCGCAGCGTAACACCACCCTCAAAACATGCCGATATAATCGGAAGCACCGGTTTGTTATCACCCATGGAAAGCAAGCCTGGAGCAGTGGAGGGTGAGGAGAAACAGTCTCAACCCAATCTGAGAGGCACCGTTCCCCAAGACTTTCTTCCTCAGACGAACACAGCGAAGTCAGTTCCTTGTGCGAGAAGACAAGCACTTTAAAACAGCGCAATCGAAACACCGCGGTGCCTGCAAAATTACAAATCTCATGCACAAAGAACACTGGGCACACAGAGAGCAAACTTGGCCACCGACACAGCACAAACCACCAGCACCACCACAGCGAAAGTAATTGTGGCTATGACAGATACAAAGCAGGTCAATCAAGACACCACTTTGACATCAGTATCGCTGACCAGCACACCCAATGAGAGATTGCACTTATGTTTGCAATGTTGCTTTATGATGATGGAAAATAGTGGAATGAAAATAAACTTAAACTATCATGTTGGTATCAGAAAAGACAACGATTTCGTGGGAGTAATTAATTGGTTGGTGGACACAGCGGAAGACACGCAAAAGTAAAAAATATATATTCAGAAACTCACATCCATCCACACTTGAGACATGCAGCACGTACACCAACGTAACCCTATTATACATGGTGATGTGCAACTTACGAACAACACCGCAAGGCACAGCAGGCTATGAATCGGTGCCGACTAAAAACACTATTTACAGCTAATGGACAGGAGGCACATGTAAACACCATACAAACCATACAAATCACACACACACACACACACACGGCTCAAACACAAATCAATATTGCTTACTGTACACAGCCTGGGGAAATGATCAGCGTGAAATGAACATACATAAATAAACAGAAATGAGTGGGCCTTGCAAGCTCCAGTTTACATCGGCCGCAGATCCTGGATCTGTTTGATAAGATACGACTTCTCGTCATTGAACTGTTCGTCCTCAGAACGATCAGCATGGAACTTGCCCAGGAAATCAACCAGCTTCTCCTGGTTTTTCAACAGAATATCCATGATCTGCTTGCTCTTGTTGGGATTTGCTACGAAGACCTTGAACACGTGGAACGCCTCGTACTGGATGTTCTTACTCTTGTCTCGCAATAAAGTCATCATAAGCTTCAGGTTTTCCACGCTGCTGATGAACGTGGTCATAGTTGTGAAGTTGTGCCTGTCCAAGAGCAGCTCGCCCAGCAGTTTCAGAGACTGGCGCTTCGTGACGTAGTTGTCGGAGTGAAGCAGCCTCTCATAGTGGCCAAACATCTTGTCATAGTTAACCTCCAGATAGTCAGCCACCAGCATCTTGTGTTTAGTGAGCAGATCACGAAATGAAGAAAAGGCATCCGAGGCGATGTCAAATGTGGGCAACTCAATAAAGGAGAAGAATGTATACAGAATCGGGTCATGCAGAACAATCTGAGCAAGGTTCTCATGACGAAGACACTCTCGCAACATTGTTCCACAAATGAGTGCAACAAGTGGGTTCTCATAACCTCTAACCAAAGCCAACATCAGTTCAGGTCGCGAGCCAATATGCTCGACAGTTGGCATCCGCGTACCGATCTGCCTCCTCAGCAAGTTGCTGAAAATTTGAGCAGCGTCCTTCCGAGCTTCGAAGTCGATTTTGGCGAGAGATGTAATCAGCAAGAACAATAAATTTGCAGTGTAGACTTCCTGCGCCAGCTGGGCAATTGCTTCAGCTTGTGGCTCTGCATCTTGCGTTCCATACAGAATCTGCTTCATACTCAGCAGGCCTTTGCCGACATCCTCGACGGCTTTCTCCGTCTTCTTTCCAGACGCATCTCCCTTTTCCAAGATGACAAGGGCTTCCTTGGTCGATTTGACAATGTCTTGAGGGCTCTTTGACGACTTGAAGAAAGGCATCAGGACGTCCGACCCACAAATCAAAACCAAAGGCAGCAGGTATCGACTCCCATGTCCACTAAGAACAATTTTTTGTTGTCGTTGACGGCGATTTCAACAACTGCCTTTATTGTTGATCGTGATACGGAGTCCAAAAAAGCAAACCTTCGCTTGGGTACACTTGGCAAATCAACGGGAAGGCCAGAAGACCTCCTCGTACATCGATGAACTACGAGCGTACCCTGCTTTGACTTGCGATCGTACTACGCCTGCTTTTAAGTTTTATGTGCCTCATCAGGCTCATGCTCAGCTACTGAGCTAGCTGCAGCAGCTCCGCCAACGACTCACGAGCTCGAAGTGAACGCTGCGGCTTGGCGCTACCTTTTCGGTTATCGCGGGCGCGTCGGACGCTACCGACGCGCCGGGTGCGCTTGGGAAGCACAAGCATGCAAGCGAAGTGCGTTCACGCTAGGCGCCTGTGCGGCGTGCGCGCGCCCGGACCCGGACGGCTGGAGTTCAAACAACAGAAAAAAGGAAAAGAATGTTTCAGAATTTGAACGTCACTTTTTACAGCTTTGAATTGATTCTGGTAAAAGCTGCTGAGCTGAGACCTTCTACTTTCTAGGTCTGTTTGGAGATTTCATCTCTCATTATGTCCTGCTCAGCATCTAACCTCGTCCTTCTACAAGTTCCAGTGCTTACGTTGAAAGCTTGAATCCAGTATTCGGTGCTATGCAAACAATATTAATTTATTCAACTTTATTGTTGGCAGTTCACAAGAGATGTACACTGTAGCACAATGTATTGAAGCAGTCGTAATGGTTATCACCACTGTGAATCCTGTCTTGTTCAGGTTGAACACCACGCTGCCTGTTTGGTTTTCTCTCAAATTCCTTGGGAGATAGTACTGGCTGAAGCGCAATGCCAGCTGGCTGCGGTGGCCATTGGAGGATCAGCAACTTGTTGCTGTATGCCCAAAGATTGCACAACTATGCGTGTATACGGCACCTCTCTCAGCTGTCCAAGACAGCACGCCACAGAACACGGAATTTTAACCTGCTCCCAAACTCTAGCCCGGCGCATGAACCGAGGTATGGGCCTAGCATTGCACGATACACTACTCGAGGACTGTGTTCCATTGCTGATGAAACGAGCACCATAGTAGCAGCTAGCAGCACCGAGAGGAGCATAAGCAACAATAGCAGCACCGAGAGGAGCATAAGCAACGATAGCAGCACCGAGAGGAGCATAAGCGATAATAGCAGCGGTGTCGATGGTGTGCAGATGCCGCAGCTACGCTTTGAAAGCGGCGCAGAATATGAAGAGTACTTCAAATCTGCCGTGCATGCGCTGATGAACACCAATCGCGACACGGATATTGTCGTTGTGCCCAAATTCATCAGCGTTAACGGTCTATGCCTATGCAGTATTCCTAACGGCCTGGAAGCCTTAAAAACACTCTACCCATCGCATTACAACATTGTGGACCATTTGGTCGGTGAGACTGTATACCTGGTTTCTAACATCAGTGATGATGAAGCAGACTCTGAAGAGGAAGCACGTAGCTTTCATAGCTGTCGCATTCTAGTCATGCCTAGTCTGAATCCTAAGCAGGAAGAAGAAGAGGGTGAGGAACACATCCTTCTCCTGGAGGTGGAGGACCCATCCTTGGATACTAGTACTATGCCAGTTGGCACCGAGTTCACGCTGATGCAACACGATCAGGTAGCTGTAACATACTCAAGAATGCTAGACACCCTGCATGATCTTACGCTGTTGGCCAATCGCCTTGATCAGCCCAGGGGTGGCCACGCGGAGACTTCGCGGCCTCTGAAAATCTCTGCGCCACTCTACAATTCTCTCCTGTGTCGCTCTAGCGGTGATGATGCTGGCCAGTCACAGCTTGACGTAGGTACCGAGTTGGTGGCTGAGGAATCGACTGGAAGTGATTTCATGGACGGTGATTTGTTGGCTGAGGGATCGACTGGGAATGATGTCATGGACCATGGGTTGGTGGCTGAGGGATTGACTGGGAGTGAGGCGACGGATGATGAGCTTATCACTTTGTTGAGCAGCAAGGGTGCTTGTGAAACAGGTGAATCACAGAAGAAGAGCCAGCCCCGCAGAGTCAAAATACCTGAGAATGTGGTGGACACTTTGAATGCTCGGCAGTTGGACATTGTGAAGAAGGTCTTCACGCAGGCACTGACTCTTATCCGTGGCCCACCAGGCTCGGGGAAAACGACTGTTGCAGCTGCCATTGTCGAAACTGCTCTCCGTGACCTAGACACCCGAGGCGTCAGTCGTAAAACTTCGAAAATACTTGTATGTGCCTCCAGCAATGTGGCTGCAGACAATCTCTGTGAGAAGATTTGCCGGCGGGGCTTGCGGGCAGTTCGAATTAATGCACGATCTAGCGAGCTGGAGCGTGAAGTTCCTGCCTCGCTCAAGCCGTACTGCCTGGAGGATATTGTTCTCAATATGGCGTCCGATCAAGCTCTGTGCTCCCTGTTGCAGAGGTACTATCAGGAAGATCAACTGACTATTGATGAGCTAGACCAGCTGAATCTGCTCCGGTTCACGCTGGAGTCTAAAGTATTGCGCGATATGTGTGATGTGGTTGTAGCGACATGCGCAACTGCCGCTGACAATCGCCTGGAGCGCTTCCTGTGCCCGGTGGTCCTGATAGACGAGGTCACCCAGTCGTATGAACCAGAAACTCTTATTGCTATCATGAGCCATGCTGAGCGTGTTGTGCTAATCGGTGATCCGTGTCAGCTGGGACCAATACCGGTCGCCTGCCCGGACTATGGGTACCGGCTGCGGTCCATGTACGACCGACTGATCCTGGCCGGCACGCCCACCGAGTTCCTGGACACGCAGTTTCGCATGCACCCCTCGCTGGCTGAGTTCTCGTGCCGAGTGTTCTATGACGGGAAGCTGTGCAACGGTGTATCTGCGTTGGATCGCACGCCATCCAGCCCAGTCTTTCCATGGCCGTCGCAGGAGCCGTTGGTGTTTCTCCATGACCCGTCTCAACATCATGTTGTCGAGCACTCCTGTGCGAATGATTCTCAGGCCAAAACGGTGCTGGACATCATTAACTATATGTGTCAGCGCCGAGTCGAGCCGAGCTCCATTGGTGTCATCACTCCGTACTCTGCGCAGAGGGCCTTGCTAAAGGAGACGCTGCGCAGTGCACAGCAAGCGAAGCTCGAGCAAATCGAGGTGTGCAGCGTTGACGAGTTCCAGGGTCGCGAGAAAGACTACATCGTGGTGTCGTCTGTCCGCAGCACGATCGGCACTGGCCAGGAAACGATTGGCTTCCTGGACAATCCTCGTCGCTTGAACGTGACCCTGACTCGTGCACGCTACGGCATGATAGTCCTGGGCAATGCTCACCTGCTCTCGTCCTGCTCGCCGATGTGGTCGGATTTCTTGTGCGACATGCGCGACAAGAAATGCCTGGTGACCGGTGACGATATCTCTACACTGGCTCCTATGGAGGATGTGCCGCTCAAACGGCACGGCTTTGTCTTCGAGCTGAGTGTATAGGGAGCCGGTAAGACTGATGTTGTGTGCATGGTGTACGATTGCGTGTTGGAAGAAGACCGGTATTGTAGTAACATCCTTTAGACTTACTTTTAGAACTTATATAAATATTTTGGAGAGGTTACATCCTCAAATCGCTATAGGCCTTTTTCTGAGCTCTTGTGCTGGCCCACAAAGCTAATTTTTCGACACGACTATGGGTTTTTTTTGTTTTTGTTCAGAGACTTTCTTCAATGCATAGTGGGCTGGCCCTTGCTTTTTCTCTGGTTGTGTTTTATAATTATTTCCATGCGCCTGGTACATGTAGAGAAGTCACTCATCCCATTTGCCTTTCACAGCTAATACTAGTGCTGCTCTGCACTTACTGCCCGTTGCCAGTGTGCATTCAGCTCATTGGTTATCGTTTGGAGCAGAGGAGGCTCTCCAAATGGATCGTGAATTTGCCTGGCGTTGCAACTTTAGAGCTGAGCGGTTGATTCTTCGCACTAAAACTGAGAAGAAGATGCTCACTGATATGAAAATTGGGACCGTATGATTCTTGCAGCGACATATTCAAGGTCATCAATACTCAGATTGCTGTGACGTTGGTGTGCCCAAGTGTTAAAGAAGAAGAAGCAGTTAGATGGTGCTACAGTTCGCTGTTCCTAGAGCACACACACACACACACACACACGCGCGCACATATACACCTTCCTGCTTCGCTCTCTGCCACAATAGGCTATGTGTCCCCGAGCTGGGGCAATTTGTAAGGATTGCTGGCTTCGTAACGTGGCAGCTACTGCGGGTCTGGTGGAACGTGAAATAGCTTACTGTTTTTTTTTGTTTCGTGTTTTTTTTCTTGCTTTTTCGGATCAACGGGAGGTGCGTATATTTCTAGCGATGTCATGTGGACAGCTGAAACGACGTGTGCAACATAAGAGTGGTTTCATAGCAGGTTGTACCCGAGAACACATCACCCTGTAGAATCCATCCTGACACCTGGTTCTCCGCTCTGACCTGTCCTCTGCCGTGTCAAGCTACTCGTCCATACCAATGAACACAGTCACCAGGTCACGCTTGATCGGGTCTTTCTACCTCTTCATGGGGCCATGTGGAGGCGGCTTAGTGGGCAAGACACCAAAGAGCAGTTGGCGAGGAATGCAATCGCCCATGCGAGCCAAATGGCCCAGCCATTGGACTGTCCCTGCGGGTATTTGCGGAAAAATTCTCGAAAACTTGCGCAAGAAATTGCGGCAGAAAGCAACAAAAAATGCGGCGGAAAGATACGGAACTTGCCAGGAATTCGCGGAATTATTGGCAGAAAATTGCGGATTTGGGCCAAATCACGAAACTTGTTGCATCCTTAGAATCATATTTGCGTACTGTGCAAATGACCTACGTACATGATCATGGAAAGCACTGTATACTGCGTGAAAAGTGCATAAAAATGTAGAAAGAAGTTCAGCAAAACGCGGGAAATCGCGGTTTTTTTTAAGAAAACCGTGGGTTTTGGCCAAAATCGCGAAATTTGTTGCATCCGTGGAATCACATTTCCTGGGGGGACAGATTAGAGACGACGGCTTGTCAGAGACCTGCTCCACGTCTCCCCGCAATTACCGAACCTGAAGCGTTGGCACATGCTCATCCATCTGACGCACCTGATCAATGCCCAGGACTATACGCTGCATGTGGAATGACTCCAAACGCTGGAGATCCCGTTACCTTGGTGTCCAGCTTTCAGCACCAAACAGGAGTACCGCAAACACAGTGACTCCGTAGATCACACATTTGAGACCGTTTGGAAACTCTGAGTTCTTAAAAAAACAGCCTTGTTCAATGCGCCAAATTCACCCGAAACTGCGGCGATCCTGCGAGAACCATCAAAGCTTCTCCAAGCATCAGGGGTGATCTGGCAGCCAAGATAGCGAAAGCTGTCCACGCATTCAACTGAATCCAACCAAAGGCAACATATCTGACGCCATCACACCAACACCCATAGGCATGAATTTGGTTTTGTCCAGATTGAGAGGCCAGATAATCCTGCAACTACCGAAACGTAGCCAGGGCCCATTTAGCCCCACTGCACGTGTAGAAAAGTGATAAATCATCCGCAAATAATAATTGGCACTCTGTTATTCTCACTCTGCTACACTCTTTGAGGTGTGCATTAAACAGGCAGTCCTTGCTATCGAGCCTGGATATCGACCAACAGCTCCACACACACACACGGACAGGGCATCAACAATAAACTCGGTCAGGAAGGTCACAAGCTGGATAGATGGCAAACCTGGGCATCATTACCAAAGCACATGCCAGGATGTGGAGAAAGAAATCTCAGAGGAAGTGAGATAATTAAGTGAAAACTGGTGGTCACCATTACACTCTTACAATAGACAGACTTGCTGAAACTCGAGCAATGAGTGAAGCAGCCATTTTCTGTTCTTTCTTTGGCCATCCAGATAGAATATCTTAGTATCACACTGACAAAGGAATACCGTGATCTGTAGCATCATGTTCATCAAGTGCCACCGGGCTAAAACGTGCAAATATAACGTCAACAGTAGCATTGCAGAGTTGCAGTATGTACTAGAAGCATGGACTAGATTTGCGAGGGTGAGGCCGGGGCATTGTTAGCGGAGCCAAATTGACACGGTTGGCCCATCTTGACCAACTCCTGCATTGAGCCAATCTCCATTGTTTCGGGGAGCATCAAAACCTCTCAGTGGCACAGCAAAGCCATCACCATCGATCGGCAGTGAACTTGGCTCAACTCCAATAGCTAAGCACAGGTCGTTGGCAGCAGGATCGCCATTGGTGTTGGCAACTGTAGCTGGGAAAGCGCCATGCTTTGGTGAGACACCAAACTGATTCTGGAAGCAGTTCTGCATGCGATTGTCCCAGCTCTCCACATTGACCGCTGTTAACGGTGCAGAATTGATCGTGCTGGCACCTAATGCCCGATTCCAGAATGTCGATGTTTGCCGACCTATGGGTAGAGCCCACCGGACCCAGCGGTTGCCAATGCCAACCAGTCGATTGCCACGCGATATCAGGATTTTACTGGCTTGATTCACAGCTAAATCCACGGCATTCAGGCTGGCGATGGTTCCGGTAGTGATCGTTGGTGTCCGCAACTCGCTCACGAGAACACTTTCTCTAAGGAATGTTTTGGAGATATCAGTGCCAACTGTGCCGCCAACCTGACCGACCAGGGTCCAGCCACCCTCTACCATGTCGCAGTATGTCTCCACTGGACCGCTCGGAGTGCGAATGAAGTACCGGCCGTTTGACGTTGACAGAGTGCCATCCTGGAAAGACAGGTCGTGTATTTGCTTGCAGCTGTCCGCAGCCACGCTGGCCACTCTTCCCAGGGTGGCCTTGATCTCCGACTCATCGGGGCACGGCCTATCGGGCAGGGTCAGTGTGGGCTCACTGGCAACAACGGAGCGCACGCGGATGTTGTCGAACAGCACGTGGCACTCCGTTTCCTGTGCCGCGGAAGCCACTGCAACGTTGCAGCCAAGGCCGAGTGTTCCACTTCTGGCCATGCTGTCAAAGTTGATGGCTGGCTCTACTGGCTGCCCGTCCAGCCATTGAGATAAGGATTGGCCGAGAAGAACGTAGCGAACACGATGCCACTGGTCTTGTTGGATTGGGCTTGGGAGAGTCCGCACTGCAGCCTCCTCGACCGTGTCACGTTGAAATGAACTCACCGGCAGTTGACTGGTGTCGGGTGAGCCCGTGTATTTCACAAATACGCCAGTTGTCCTTGAAATACTGGGTTGGTCGACCCTGAGGAAGGGGCCGAACTTCGGAGGTGATTGTGACGCTGATGGTGTATTCGGGACTTGAATATCCATCTGAATTTCCACGTCCATCCAGTCTGTGCCATTCTTGAAGAATATGTCCACTTCCTCACCCGAACTCCCTGCAACGGTATTTCTATTGGCCGATGCTACTCTCCCTTCAAGCAGTCCGTCTCTTGCAGTCCATATTCCAAACTGTTGCTGCCAGTCGCGCATAAAACCCTCCGTAGTCACAAAGTCTTCATAGTAGCGGAACACTGTCCTAGGATCGCACAGGGGATATCCTGCTGAGGGATTGCCAAACACTAGGGCGTACCTGTTAGTGAATACTGCATCAGCTTCCAGGTGCTCCAGAACTGGAAAGTGCAGTGTTGACTCCTGAGTTCCAATGCCTTCGATAATCCTATGCACCTCGACAGGGTCTTGGCTGAGACAGGGCTGGTGGTAGATGCGTATATCATCTGCAGATACCAGGGACAGCTGGGCATCTATCAAGGCCTGATGATCAAATGCAAATGATAATGTATGGCCGCGTTCCAGTCCCGACGCAGTGGTGATTGTCAGTGGTCTGATAACCAGGAATTCCTCGGATAGCCGAGAGAAGAAATGATTGGAGCAGGTTTGACTCAGGCCTTCCAGCTGCCTTGTCGTGGCCTGCATGCGATTCACCTGTGCCAGTTCCTGCGACGTGCGTGCAATCCTGGCTTGAAGCTCACCGGTCGCTGGTGGCACACTGAGGTCGAGGCTGTTCCGGTCCACGGCCAGAGCTCTTTCCAAGCGCAGTGCCAACTTACTCAGTGACTGCCGTAAGTCATCAACGATCGATTGGTTCAGGACGCTCGGGGGCTGCGTAGCAGACTGTGCCTGCAGTGGAATGTGCGCTGCCTTGTTTGCCAGTTTCAGCGAGTTCTCAAGGTCAAAGCGAGCCACTGAATGTCCACTGTGCACCTGTGCAGCACTACCTCGGCTGCCGGCTGCTGGTTTTGCCGTTTTCAGTGCTGCAGACTTCACAGATGCAGAGCACAGTAGCATACTGAGCACCAGCACCACACATCCCAGAGTATTCACATTGATCAGAGGCCACCGTCTGCTGCACGATGACTTGTCCTTACACATCGTCGATGAATCACCTGTGCACCCCCTCGAAGTATGCTCTTTATAGGGTTGATGAGCAGGTTGCTGTGTCGCCATTGTCATCTTTTACTCTGGACTGTTCCTTGGTAGAGAGTGATTCAGGCCAGCCTTGTTGACTCCCAAGTCAACTGACATTCATAATCACTGAATTATTTCTCTGTTCTGAGTCTGTCCTATGTAGTCGGAGTGGTGGCAGGCGACGTTGCTGATGGCTGACTGTTGGACTGATTCCCAATGCTTCCGCCTCGGTGGTCGTGAGCTGCTGCACATCCACTGCAGCAGCGTGTGGTCATACAGACTGGTGCTGTAGAGACTCTGTTCTTTTTCGACGTGACCAAGGTCTGAGGGGAGGTCAAACGATTCGGAGTGAGGTGCGGAAGTTGGTTTGGACCAGGCTTCCAGTTCGAGTTACAACAATGCTGGCGGCAAGGTCTATGATCTGACTATCCGAGGGCCAACGTGGGTGAAGAAATACTATCTTACAACGCAACCAAGTCAAGAGCGAGTTTGGGATGCAATGGCGTCCAATATCGTTAGATGGTTTCAGTACTACAGCTTGGCGACGAATAGCAGCTTAGCGCTGGCTCCTGGGTCCTCCCTCGCCAAGCTTGTGGCTGACGGGTGACACACGCGAACTCCCTGCGCCCGTGGCGGATGCGATCGTCCAGTTACGTAGCGGATATTGTAATTCGATGGTGGTTGACACCAGATCAACTAACTTGCAGAAAGTTGAGAGTGTGTCCTGGTATTGATTGCCCTTCTAATTCTGCTGTCACAGTGCTGCTGCTGCTGCTGCTAGCGCCATCGTCTTACTTCCGCCTCGCTTCCTGCAAGCTTATCTCAGCAGCTTCCAGTCCCCTAATTTAAATTTCATCGCACATTCCAGCAGAAACGAATGTGCTGCGAATAGTGTTTTATTTATTACCCGGGGCTGTGAGATGGGCTCGTAAATTAATAACGT